ATTATATTATATTATATTATATTATATTATATTATATTATATTATATTATATTATATTCACACACACATAAAATAAAATTTATATTAGCGTGATTTAATGTTTTGCCTATAGCTGTCTTGGTAAGGAGGCATAAGAAAATTCGTTTTCATAAATGGCTTTGCCCATGTGAAGAGTCATGTTGAAACCACTGCCCAAGAGTTGCTTTTTAATGAGATGGGCAGTGACAAATTTGATATATAAATTAAAAAAAAAATTATTCTATATTGTTCATTTTATCAGGATATTCGTACATGTTATTTGACATGATTAATATCAAATTATCCAGGCCATCCAGATTGATTTTATCTCAGGTATTTATTGTCTCATAGAATTGATACAGTCTCTATAAAAATTGCTAAATACTGTTATATTATCTGCAAATATTGAAAGTGAATAATTGCACAATTATTTGTGAGAGCATAGTACCCTAGTATTTTATATTCATAGTTTTATTACTCTCTATTTTAGTTTATTTAACTGTAACAAAGTATTCATATTCTATTGTCAGCATTTTTGTTGCATTAGCATAAACGTTAGTTCTAACATATTAGGATAACAGATTCCTTTCAGGTTTAGTTATTTAGATTAGTCATACTGATTTTACAGATTCAATGCTTGTAATTCTATGTTCTATTTTATTACTGTATTCATAGTTGCATGGATGCCTTATTGTATCCTAAAACAATTTACTTTGCTATTTGCTGGTCATTGACCAAAATAAAAGTTTCTTCTTCTAAATGAATATTGGGTCTGTCTAGCTTGACTTTTCTTATGAAAACTTTGAATTAGTTTTCCATTACTCTCAAAATATCAGACTTCTATTTAATGTTAGTTTAGTATCACCAGTTTCTCATCCTGGTTAGGAAACCAATATTGAACCACAACTTTTGCTTTGGTTATAAGGAAAAAAATGCTTAAAGCTAAGATCAAAGGGTCATATCCAGCTAGTATAAGAATAAATAAATATAGTGTGGGTAATGTGAGCAACTGAATATTCTGTTGAGCTTAATAGAAGTATAGTTTATTTTTAGTTCTTTTAAAATTAGTTTATTAAGGCATGATATTATTCATGCGAACCATTAAAAGGAAACAAACATAATCATGCTATGGACCCAGTCATATGTGCTAGTTTAATCCTCCATGTTAGCAAAAGAATAATAGTAACTAATTCTGATACGTTCATAACAGAGTAGTCAATCTCAGACTTAGTTCAAGGGTGCTTATGCTTTGATTTGTAAGATGGCAGAACCAGAACTGCCTATGAAACAACTTACTGTAAATAGCTAATGTAAGCTACAAGTAAATGAAAGGTTGTTCTAATTCGAAAATGGTGTCGTATTGTTAAAAACAAACTTGAGATGTCTATCTGGATATAGTTGTTTATTGCAGCATACTCCATTCATTACAGAATATTTATAATTCCCACTGACTACTATGTATCCAGCTACGCTTCACAGCTTCCATTTTTAGGAGCATATACTCTTTCATTTCTCATCCACTGAATATGCAATTGACATTTCATAACCTAGAATGGCGGTATCTCCTCCCCCTGGACAAAATGGCTAAACGTTATTTATGCTAAGTTCCTTGTTGTCCTGTTATGCACTGCAATATCACTACAAGAACAGCGCACTTGCTTCTTCACAAAATATAGAACAAATTGGGTAAGGTCCAAGACTAACAATAAAACTGGTCAAAATCTGTACTTGAAATTTTGATTCAGTACACTAATGAGGAGATGACATCTGGACCCCTTGTATACTAAATTAAATGACTTTGTCACCTCTTATATGTGGCAGTGATACAACAAATATTTGGGATTTTCTCTATTCACATTCCAGGAAAGAATCTTCAAGATTCCAAAGAGTTGGAGTCGGGCGGCATCCAAATTGAATTAAATAAATAAAAGACTACAAAAAGAAGTGGGCAGAAAGAGTAAGTACTGCTATTCATCAGTAGTATTAATTTTCCATAGATCCAAACAACAACCCGCACACATAAGTGTAATTTCTCACGTAGCATGTTTAATGGGCTTATATTTCATAGAGGTAGTAAATGTGATACAAATAGTTCAAAAACTTTCTTAACAGTCCAAGTCTGATTTGAAATATGTGACTGGGTAAGGGTACAAAAAGAGAACTTGGTGGGTTTTAAAAATAATGTCCAGACAAATTCAAATCTTTGTACAGAAATCATTTTTATTACAAAATGTCTTTAAATATGAAAACTGTTGATGTCCAAATTTTACCATGAAGCATATGTAATGTTATCAATATATATACAAAAACAGGTGACTATACAAGAACTTTATACATAGACCCATTCTGATACTGTATCCAGGGGTTATAGCTTGGAGTTCTGAGGTATATAACTCTGTTAGTTGTGTTAGGAAGAGAGTAGTTTTTTGCTGACATCCATGCTCCCCCCGGGTTTACAGGCCCTTTGTATTGTTGGATTGAGGGACCCTCAAGAGTAACATGGGAGGAGTGGGGGCTACAATGAAAAGGAAGACTAGATAAAAATAACTATGCTACCCCCACATTGTTCAGCAAGGAAATTCCAGTGGATCCCAGAATCCTTTGTTAAGAGAAAGAACAATTTTTCCTCCAGAGAAGACTAAGTCTTTATCTAACTATATATAATTAATTAATATTAAATAACAACACATTCAGGATATTTTTTTAAAAAAATCTATGGATTGGGTCTGACTTTAATAAGATTTGATTTGATTGATTTATGGATTGGGTGGAATACAGTAACTTTTTCCCTAAACTTATTACTGGTCATATATTGGTTATACTAATCTAGAAAATAACCTAGGTTCGCTTTAGGGTCCAGTGGCACTATGCTAATAATTTACCTTTCATGTTCAATAAGTCTAAACATTCTGTTTTCAATATAGTTGAGAATTGCTTGCTGTTTTGAAAAGACATCTAACCCTCAGAGTTAGGTAGACAAACAGAGAAAAGATGGTGTATTTACTAATTAAGATGTCTGAACTTAAAGAGTATCTCGACTATGCTCATATTGTGTTGATTATGATGAGTAACAGATTACAATTACAAAAATTAACACAACCCTATGATTTCGTTTCTGATGTGAAATAACACATCAGAACAACAAACAAGCCACAGTTGAATAACTTATTCTATAAGGGAAACTATATTTGACAAATGTTCTGCCTTAATTCTTCCTGATTTATTCTTTATATTTTCCTCTCTAAAGCTGCCTGCAGAGGGAAAATCTACCTCCTGCTTCTTGCAATGATCTCCAGGCTCAGCATTTTCTCAGTTCAAAAACTCAGAACTTAGGAAGGCCAAGCAAGAGAAAAGCAGTACATCTCAAGTAGCTCCAGAGATCCTTGGGACCTGAATCCTTAGCCCACTCAGCCCATCCTAAAAAAGGAAGATATCAACGCCAACTTAGTTTAAGTGCTACCCCGCTGCTCAAAATGGGATGGATTAAAAAAAGAACAATTAATAAACCATATGTAAACACTTAGAAAACTAGAATATGCTGTGAAGAAAAATTCTGAGGGGAGAGAAATAACAAATATGCACAACACCCTATGTAATCCTACACATGTCTAATCAAAAGTAGGTCTTCAATGAATTTAGTGGTGCATATTCCTAGGTATCTTGGCACAGGTTTGTAGTTAATTTCATTTAAACACCTTTTTACTTCTACATACATTTTTTAACAAATTCAATTGATATTAGTCATGGATCTAGAACAAAAATATAATATGGAAAAATACAAGTTTTAGATTACCAAGTCTCTTGAGGTTAAAATCCTTTTGCATACTATGGAAAAACTTACTTCTTACCACCAGCTTTTCTGAATAAAATAATTCAATTCAACTAAGCATGCATTTCAATTTCTCTTATTCTTGGTTGTCAGTTGTGTCTCTGTTCTTGGAGGGAACCAATTTTAACAATGCTAACTGGACTGACATTTTCCCTTGATTAGAAAGCATGCATCCCCTTTTGGAAAGTACGATTGAAACTCAGTATGTCAGTGTTTGGTATTGTATTCTACTTACTACTCATTTCGTTAGGAAGTGATCTAATCATAATCACAGTGAATGCTGAAGGTCACCAAACCAAATTAATGTACTCAGTGTCTCAGAGAAAGAAGTTTATTATTTTTCCTACCTATAATTATGTCAGTGAAAATGAAACCCTTTCACCCTCTCTCCATTATATTCGAAACGAACAGAACACAAACACAATTAGGGGACTGGAACATGCAATTAAGAACTACTTAACATTCACCCATTCTAATTAATAAAGCCAATTTACACAATGTGTAATCTTTCTGGATACTTCATACAGTCAAATGGTATTCAACTCAGCAGGCAAGGAAAATTCATGTTCAAACTCCCCTTTCTTTTCTGAAGCAGAGGCTAAATGCCACACAGTGGCATGCCTGTTAAGTCTGTCTGGAGTCGTCATAAGCATCCATGTGGGTTTTAAAAGTTTTTTTAAAAAAAATTTATTTATGTATCTATTGGGCTTATATGCCACTCTAATTTTTGCTGATTCTGAGCATCTTTGTAAATAAGATTAAACCTATACATAAGAAAAGATAAAATAACTAAAGAATCAGCCTTTACTTATTATCTAAGGAACAACACAATTCCATTAACAACAGATGCACCACCTCATATCCATCCCCAAGGCCTGTTGGAGTAACCAGGTTCTGCTCACCCTCCAAAAACTCAGCAGGGTTGGGGCCATATGGATCTTGGGGAGAAGGGGAGCAACAACTGAAAAGGTGTGTCTTTGTGGTGACATTCCCTGAGAGAAAACTCAAAGGGTATGTTGTAACTGTACTAGGGAGAAATGAGTTCAATGTAATGCAAAGCTACTATACATTAAAAAGAAAAAGAAATGGTGATTTTAAATTCAAAATTGAAAAAGGAATTGAGAATGAACATACCTTTGCATTTGTTTGTTGTTTTATCCAAAATAGCTTTCGTAGATACAATTTTCCCATATCTAAAATTTTAAAAACAAACCAGAAGTTACCTTACGAAATCTCAGTGATCAAATGAAGCTGCAATATTCTTATGTAAATTTGCACTTGTAAAAAAATACATTTACTCAACCTTTTACCTCCAACAAAGCAGCATTGATTCTATTTCTAGTTCTCCTAACTAGAGTAAAGATTAAAGCCTTGTGATAAAATGTCTACAGACAAATCAGTTCTATTGGGCAGATTGTGCAGAGATGGTCTACTCAGCAAACCTTTCATTAATAGAAAATTGAGAAATCCGATATTACATAATTCTGCACCAGTATTTAACTAGTCAAGCAAACCTTTAATGGAATTCAAGTCACCACCAATAGCAGCAGCATCTGTCCACAGCATCCCATTCTAGAAAGATCAAACCAGTGAAGAAGCAACAACAGGTTCCCAGGATCAGAAGATCATAACATCCATGGTTTTTCCATAATACTCAAGTTCTTGGAAATCATACACACAATAGGTGAAACAGCTTTATGCTGAAAATGATTTTGTCCTTATATTCTATCTATGGCACACAAAAGACTTCTCAGATTTTTCAAAGGTGATACTGCTTCACACTACAAAGATCGTCTGCCTGATCTGCTTTCTACTTACTAAAGAACTTGCATGTCTTGCTAAAAATGGGGAAACCACTTTGACTTTAACAAAGGGGTTATTGTATTTTCAAGATGAAGGATAAAGAAATATTTAAGTACTGCCTGTCATGTAAAGCACCTCCAATTAAAAGCTGCTTTAATCTGAAATAAACAGAAAAAAATATAGGCAGAATGCAGTAATCAAACAGATCAAATGGCTGTATTTGATATAATTCCCATCTTTCCTCCAGGAGTTCCCAGGTGGCATACCCAGTGCCCCCTCCTTCACTATTTCAGCTGCACTGCCATGACCTATCAAGTACCAAGGTGAATCCAAAGTAATTTCAGCATGCACTTTAAATGTAGCAAAGTTGTTGCATGTTTTCATTCTAAAAGAACTTCCCAAATAATGGGTGCCCCCACTAAAGAGACTGTCTTCAAGCCTGACACAATCAGGAAGGCCTTCAATGATTACTGCAGTGGCTGAGCAGATCTATACTGTGGATGTTTTGTTTTGAAATAAATAAATTGCATCTCAAGACACACTCTGCTCGTACTTGTTGGATACTTCTTCTCTGCCAGATTTATTTTCATTAGGCTGTGGGAGGAAAGTTCAGCATTAAGTTTTCATTTCAATTTCTAGGGTACAGTGATACAATAGGACTTAAATTTCCTCTTTGTTTTCAGATAAGCATATGGTCCAACACTATGTGAACCCCAAATGTGAACTCCTCTCTTCATAATCCTGGCACTGCATAGGATTACAGGTAGTCCTCATTTAATGACTGTCTCAGACTGCAACTGTTCCCAGTTACAATGATGAAAAAGTAACTCTGCAACCAGTCCTCACATTTACAACATTCACATGTCTGTAAAGCAAAGGAAAGCTGAAGTAAGATCATAAGCACAGTTATGGTTTCACTTAGTGACGGCTTTGCTTAACGACCAAGTTGCCAGTCCCAATTGTAGTCACTAAATGAGGACTACCTGTTATAGCATGCTTTCTTGAACTGTTTTGAGCACGATACTTCTCTCTTAGCAATCCCTAACATTTAAGAAAATCTTATTGGCAGGGATAGCCCTGAGATTGGAGGGCCGAGGAAGATACCGGTATTCCTTCAAATAACCTGCACCTAAACTATTTAGGGCTTTAAAAGTGATCACCACCACTTTAACTGTGGCAGCTCAGTCCTGTAATAGTAATCTAACGTGGCTTTATCAAGTTCTATATAGCTGACAAATAAGCTATAACTAGAAATAAAACCCATGGTTGATAATCAATGTTATGTGCACTTCCATACATTGTACTAGTTCCAGGCAAACTCTTGAATCATGTTTTTGATTCATCACAAAATGTGCAATCCACTCTGTGATGACTTATACATGTATATCAGAGTCACCTGTTGGGGGGAGATGGGCAGCATACAAATGTAATAATAAACAAACAAACAAAATCTATCTATATTTCTCCACCCACGGTGTTTCCCTCATGTCTGGATTAAGCCAAAGACCTTAAGAACGGAATTCATTTTTTATTGATACTAAATGGATATTATAAGGATCTTTTTTTTTCAGCTTTCCCCTTTTTTGTCGTGTTTCATTTATTTTAAGCACCACCAATGTATATAAGTTCTTTTTTCTCCTTTTTGACCACTACTGTATTTTACAAGGTTTCTATACTCCTCCTTTTTTCAGAAAGGACTACAGCAACTATAACACTGTGCTCCTGAAGGCTGCTGAAAAGTATTCTTAAGATAAAGATTACGCTGCGGAATCAATGGGGAGTACAATAAAAAAATATTATTTGTCTCAAAACTTCCAAGTAATTTGTCCACATCATCAGACAGCACAAGCTAAAATCTATCCAAATATGACTAAATTAAACTCTAGCATCACCCTTCTCTGATTCTGTCATAACAACGGTATTCAAATTGGAATTAATTGGAACAATTTTATCTGCAAATATATTTTAAACTGCCCCTAGTAAGCCTTTAAAAGTTCATCTGGTTGCCTGATCCTAAAATGAACATCTTTTTGCTACTCAAAAAAGTTCTGCTGGCAGACATTGTGCAGGTTAGTGGAGAAACTGGATTTCTTTAGCACTATCACAAATTCACAGTAGGTCCCCAAACTGATTCCTACCTGTGTCCAATGATGATTGCAGTTTAGATGATGATGATGATCACCACCACCACCTGTTTATCTAGTCATTTCATAGCCTTCAGATCTGCAGTGTGCTAATATGCCTTTACAGTTGGATTAAGTATTTTTGTGAATATTAACCCAGAATAATTTCCCCATTTCAACAATGTTTAGAGACTCAGTAGAACTACCAACACTAACTGTAGGAAATATTCCCAAAGACAATAAAAAGTCCAAACTGTGATCAGACTATGGTTACAGAAGCACTCATTCCTCCAATTACTATTTCCTACATCAATATAGAAAACAAATCACAACCCAATATATGTCTAGCTAATGCCTGTGGTAAGATCAGGAACTGACTCTCTGTACTACAATTTTTGGCAAGCCCCACCCCAAGATGGGGGCCAAAACACATGGAAGTCTCCATATTAAATGAGACAGGTGCATGATAAAAGTGATACAGCTTTGTTTCTAATGCCTTCCTAAGTATATCCTAGGGCAGACCCAAATTTCAAAATTATCACGCAATGTCACCTCTATTTCTAGAAAGAAAAGATCACAGTACCTTTGAGGCATATGTGTGAGTGAAGGACAAGGAATGAATGCTGACAGAATACTGAACAGAAACTCTGCAAGCAGGTTCTAGAGAAAAGAGAAACTCTCTTCTTTTCTTGTAGAGCTTTGCCTAAAGCGGTTCCAGCTGGTTTTGCTACCTCCTTCTAATTCTCACAGAACATTATCCATTAGAAGGAGTATCCATTTTGCTGTAAGAGGATTAATACCAACATTACAGGAAGGTGAATGGGACCAAAGCAATGGATGAAGATAAAGGGAATCCACACTTGAGCATCTTAAAGACTTTCAATACTTCATTCTAAAACCCTTAATTCCACAAGTATATATTTAATGAAATATGAATTCCACAGGTATATATTTAATGAATATGAATTTCTTTGTGATGATAATTTAAAAGGAGATGTCGGTTCATTCAGTCCAATCTAGATATAATGATTGTTAGAAGGATCCACTGAACAAATTTACAGCACCACTGATACCCTCACTACCATCTTGATCTGATGAGCTCCAGAGCTTGATTCAAAAGACATAGTTAAAAGCCATGTAATTAGTTGTTTATGTTTTATTTAGCCAGTAATGATACAAATAATTTTTCTATCTAGCAATGAACAAAGAGGTAGCATGGCATAAAGCAAAATTACAAAAATCTAGGAAGTGACTGAAAATAAGTTCTTTTATGCTCTTATCCATAAGCAGCAGGAAACTGCATTGTTTAGGCCCACAGCCCCTGACTATCCAGCACAGTGTTTCTCAATCTTGGCAACTTTTAAGGTGTGTGGCTAGCTAGGGAATTCTGGGAGTTGGAGTCCACACATCTTAAAGTTGCCAAGGTTGAGAAACACTGATCCAGCAGGAGTGTATATGGGCCTTGGACAATGTCATACGTTCACACAGACATGCAACTAGGTATTGAGAAATTAAATACTTTTACGACACCTACCCACCTACCTTCTGGACTAATTCCAAAGCACAGTACTATACTATTATTTATTACATACTTATAGCTAACCATACAATAAAACAATTGATACAATAATATGTTACAATCAATTATAACATCATAATATAAAATAAGGAGTCTCTAAACTAAAACTTCCATGACAGAGAATATTTGCAAATGCTGTCCCCTCCCCTCCCCCACTGACAACTCCTCCATGTCAGCTCCTACATGTTATTTATAGGTATATATTTTCTCCCTCAAATTCACAATTCATTGACAATTCCTTAAGACATATTGTATTCCTTCTCTAGTTTGTATAAAGCACACTGATTCTGACAAAGGTTCAAGCACATTTCCTCATTCACATCCATATTGTTTGGATTTTTTTCCTCATTTTAGTCTGCCATAATGCTTGCTGCCTTAATCATACAGGATTGCATTGCATCTCTCCCTGTCTTTTTAAATTGGTTTTGTAAATCTGCAGGAAGACACTCAGAATTATAGTACACTGCATTCATGAATATTCCTATCACTACTTTTATGCACTGCACTGAGGTCATATCCAATGTGAATTGGGGGATCATTTTAGTCTGCCATAATGCTTGCTGCCTTAATCATACAGGATTGCATTGCATCTCTCCCTGTCTTTTTAAATTGGTTTTGTAAATCTGCAGGAAGACACTCAGAATTATAGTACACTGCATTCATGAATATTCCTATCACTACTTTTATG